GAGTTTTCGAGAGAAAGATTCTGCGAAAGATTTACGGACCTTTACGCGTTGGTGATGGCGAATATCGCAGACGATTTAACGATGAGCTGTATGAGCTTTACAACGATATAGACATAGTGCAGCGAATTAAAATTCAGCGGCTCCGCTGGCTTGGCCATGTCGTTCGGATGGACAGAAACGCTCCTGCTCTGAAAATATTCAACGCGGGCCGCGATGCTGGTAACAGAGGAAGAGGAAGGCCTCCTCTGCGTTGGAAAGACCAGGTGGAGAAGGACTTGGCTTCACTTGGCATTTTCAATTGGCGTCAGTTAGCACAGAAGAGAGAGGACTGGCGTGCTGTTTTGGACTCGGCCAAAATCGCTTAGGCAGTTACAGCGCCAATTAAGAAGAAGAAGAAGTTGTTGCGCCAGATTTTCTAGTTTTGAATTCCTAATTGAAAATGAGTTATCAACATAAATATATTTCGAAATTAAATTATTATACTTACCTCACTTACGAAGTAAACCTATTGTCTAACATACTTACCACTTACATACATACTTACCCGATTATATTCAGCTACCTATTTGCTCTATACTTACCTTATTAACGTATTTCTTCATGCATCCTTACATTATTATTGTACATAATTTCTTAAAGCCGTTGAACTCATATACTAGTTATGTACATATTAACAACTACCCTAAGCCGTTAGTTTTAAGGCGTAGGCTAAGTGAGATGAAATTGAAAATAAAGAAGTCACTTGTAAAGTATCATCGAGAAAGCGCGCATCGTTCGTTATTTCATATGAGGAACTAANAAACAAATACAGTTTGTATTTTCCTTAAAAATACTAAATAAGTTTAAACAAACCAAAAATTTGCGACTTTTCGCCTCTGTGGTACAATTTTCGTCAAATTCTTGCATTGTGCGTGGTTTTCATATTTCTGGTCGAGATTTGTTCCGTCATCTTTCGTCATTGGTTTTTAAGCCATAACTCCTAAATCTCTAGTTGTTCTCGTAGGAATTTAGAATAACCACCTTTCGTCAACTTAGTAATTCACTTAATAAAAATGAGCAANTGTTGTTGCTATCGCGCACTCCCCGACAACCACACAGTTTACGCAAGTTATTTTCTTAAAAAATCTTAAGGATTTTTTTCATGGCGCCAAACGTGGGGCTCAGTGCGTGATTTCGTGAAAGTANCAAAGGTCGATTTTAAAGAGGAGCATACAGCGAGTAAAATCGGGCATTCTGGATATCAATTTCGACCAATCCAAAAGAATTAGAGTGTCGGCTTGACATGTTGAACGCAAACAGCGAAAAGCTAATGAAATGTCAAGCAAAAATTGAGGAAATCGATGAAGAAGACATGACCCGTGGGGAGTTAGAGGACATAATTGCCGAAACGAAAGCCATTATTAAATCAATTTTGGCGAAAAACAAAACTTCAGTTGGCGAAACTTCTTTCGTAGCGCCTCACAGCTCAAGACTCCCTAAAATGAATTTGCCAAAATTTAAAGGACAGTATTCGGAGTTCAAAAACTTTATGAGCTTGTTTAAGAGCCTTGTACACAACGATCCTACAATCCCAGATATTGAGAAATTTAACCACTTGGTTAACTGTCTGTCTGGTGAGGCTTTGGGAACGGTAAAGGCCTTCCAAATGTCAGACGAAAATTATTCGAAGGCTTTGGCTAGTCTCAAAAAAGTTTATGATAACAAATACTTAATATTTTTCGACACAATTTCCAACTGCGCTTTCATGTTTATGACTCACTGCTGTCGTTGGGTGACGAGAAAAATATCACAAACGCAATCATAATCCATCTGGTAATGTCGAAAGTTGACACCATTACTCGGTCCAAACGGGAAGAACAGCTGGATTATGACAAGTTGCCGTTATGGCGAGACTGCGAAGCTGCGTTAAATAAGCGCTATCAGCATTTATCCGCCGATGAAGCCTCAAATTCGAGACAGAAGTCATCCACCAGCGCTGGTACGCAAAAACTCAACCAGCATACGGAAAAGACGAAGTCTGCCTTAATGACTTCGAATTCAAAACAGCCGGTGTATCCACACTGTAAGTCCAAGGATCATAACATATCTGCGTGTCCTACTTCCAAAACTCTCTCTGCAAAGCAGCGATTTGAGTTTGCGAAATCAGTCCCCTTATGCATAAACTGTTTACGAAAGGGGCACACGGTTTCAAAGTGCAGAGCAGATCGGTGTCGGATTTGTAATCGTTCGCATCACACCTTGCTGCACCAGCATCCAATATCTTTCGAAACTGCACTTCAACCTTCGACCTCACATGTCATGCACACAACGAGTGCGCCAGATCGTGTTATGTTGGCCACAGTTTCAGTTAACGTAAAAAGTAGCTCCGGAGAATCCCTGCCTGCACGAGCCTTGTTGGATTCTGGATCTCAGGTGAACTTCATGACCGAAGATTTGGCGGAGAAATTGCGGATTCGTCGTCAAGGAGTAACTCTAAACGTCATCGGCATCGGCAATGCGAATCAGAAAGTAAGGACGAAATTAAATGCATTTGTGAAATCGCGGGTTAATAATTATGAGTTCTCGGCAGAATTCTGGATTATGCGGTCCATTTCAGCTAACCATCCAGACCGAAACGTTAATATTACTGGCTGGAAAATACCAAAAAGTATTAATTTGGCGGATCCAGAATTCCATAAATCGCAAAAAATTGATTTGTTGTTTGGTGCCGAAACATTCTTCGAGCTTCTAGCTATAGGCCAGATTAGAACTGGCCCAAACCACCCAACTCTACAGAAAACTCTTCTGGGCTGGGTTGTGTCTGGCAAATACACCACCAACCATTAGCCTCCTCCCCAAGTTAGTAGCACATTATGCCAAACTGAAGATGAATTATCGACAATAGATTCGGTGGTCCAAAGATTCTGGGCTTAAGAAGAATTACCTTCACAAGCAAATTCCAGAAAACTTACACCTGAGCAAACAGAATGTGAAACATTTTTCGTAAGAACTACTCAAGTTCTGCCGGCAGGAAGGCTTCAAGTAAGATTGCCATTCAAAACTGACCGTAAGTTACTCGGTCATTCCAATGAAACCGCATCTCGGCGGTTTCAGGCCCTGGAGAGAAGAACCTTGAAAGATCCAGAACTTCGCAAAATGTATCTGGACTTGATGAGTGAATATATAGAATTGGGTCATATGAGCCAATTCTGTATATTCATTCATGAAGTCCAGATACATTTTGCGAAGTTCTGGATCTTTCAAGGTTCTTCTTTGTATGTACATGCGCATGTATTTTTTAGCAAGCAGCGCTTAGCACAAGTATGTACATACGTTTTGTTGTTGTGCTCTTGCACTTACATATGTATGTTTACTTATATACGTATGTAGTGACCAAGGAGATGCCAATAATTGAAAGTGCGATAAATAATTAATAATTTAATTTTGATTTATTTTAATTTTATTTGTATAAAATTTTATTTCGTTTAAGACACAGCTTTCAATTGTTCGCACTCGTTACCTTATGTGAATGCGTAGGCGTTTTGCCTGCTTTCACTTCCCTCTGACAAATCAGGCAATTGCAGCTCATCCCAGGCGGCAGCGGTAGTAACAGCAACTACAGTGGCTCAGCAGCGTTGGCAGGAAGCAGTACATGAGGCAGCGGTGACGGCAGCAAAAAATTCACCGACGATGATGACGAAAAGGATTCAAGTAGTTGTGAGTAGCGGTGACTTCTTATATACACAACGTAAGTATATATGTGTTTATTAAATAAATTGTTAATGTCTAAAACTGTATATTTTATTTTAGTTCTTCTGATTTGAGAACTGTAGCACTTGCGGTATTTAAACTGTTCACAACTGCAAATAGTAGTAACCACTGTGTCCGTGTTTGTATGCTTTTTTAAGAAAATAACTTACGTAAACTGTGTGGTTGTCGGGCAGTGCGCGATAGCAACAACAATGCCTAGTCCCTCGTATGAAATAACGAACGATGTGCGCTTTCTCGATGATACTTTACAAGTGACTTCTTTATTTTCAATTTCATCTCACTTAGCCTACGCCTTAAAACTAACGGCTTATGGTCTGATTATGCATGCTTCGCATAACTTCGCACAACTTCGCATAAACTTCAAACTATAATTTCGTATGTACTTTGTATGTATTTTGTATGTATTCCAATACCCAGGAATTAGCAGAACTTTTAAAAACATAGCGATCTGTTGAGTTTAGATTTTGCTCCACATTTTCTTAAGTTACACTTTTAGTGCACTGGTACTAATGGTAGTGCGAAGTATGCATAATCACACCCTTTGGGCAGTTGTTAATATGTACATAACAAGTATATGAGTTCAACGGCTTTAAGAAATTATATACAATAATAATGTAAGTATGCATGTAGAAATACGTAAATAAGGTAAGTATAGAGCAAATAGGTAGTTGAATATAATCGGGCAAGTATGTATGTAAGTGGTAAGTATGTTAGACAATAGGTTTACTTCGTAAGTGAGGTAAGTATAATAATTTAATTTCGAAATATATTTATGTTGAGAACTCATTTTCAATTAGGAATTCAAAACTAGAAAATCTGGCGCAACACCGGCCACCTTGACAGGNAGCGCGAAGTCTATCGGCAGGCAAATTTCCCATTATTTGCGTCTGCAGCTTCGGCTTATAATGAAAGCAGTGTATGCAGTTTCGAACGGTGCGACTACAAGCTTCTCGAGCGTTAATCAACCAAATTCTTTCTCGTAGAAGCGCCACCAATGATTTTGCCCCAGCATGGTGATTGCGAAAATGTAGGCACCGTAGATATGCTTTAACAAAGTGCGAGTTCTTGCTTAAGAGCAATGGGAACTTTGCATCATATGGGAGAGGCGCATGCAATAGGCGTCCTCCTACTCGGAGTAAGTTAAACGAAAGCGATAGTTCCGAGTAGTCGTGCAGATGTGGAGCGTATATATACGCAGCAGCCGTACGCCCTTATTGAGGCATCGGCAAAGCCATGAATTTGGCAGCTTGCATTCGACTCTGTATTAACATACCGAGGAATGCTTATCGACGAGAGCTGCAGAAAAATAGCTTTGAAATTTTGCCAGCTAGTGTCGAGGCGCAACGGAATCGACTCATCCCAATCAAGCTTTTGGATCCAAAGCTCTTGCAATAAGATTTTGGCTTTGGTTACTAGTGGGGCAAGTAAACCAAGAGTATCGAAAAGGCGAGCCGAGACTGATAAGATTTTTCGTTTTGTGGCTCGTAGATCTTTGAAACTGTCATCCAAGACGAATCGAAATAAATCCTCTTTCGGCGACCAATGGATTCCAAGTGTTTTTGTGGAATCTGTGTCATTGAAACTTAATGACTTTTCAGAACTCTCACTGTCGAAAAATGATGGGTGATTTGAAAACCACTTCGCTAGTTTGAATCCGGCCGAGTTTAATATATTCATTACCTCACTTCTAATAAGATCTAGAGATTCAAAATCTTCAGATGATGTAAGTAGGTCATCTACATAGAAATCTCTTTTAATAGTCTTTGAATCGAGTGGATACTTAGTCGTATTAGCATCGCTGAGCATTTGTAAACACCGTGTAGCGAGAAATGGAGCAGGCGCAGTGCCGTATGTTACGGTGTTGAGGCGAAAAATTTGAAGTTGCTCAGACGGATGCTGTCTCCACACTACGAGCTGAAAGTTTCTGTCGTCTTCGTTCATGAGAATTTGACGGTACATTTTAGTAATGTCCAACGTAAGTGCAAATTTAGGCAAACGAAAACGTAGAAGTGTCGAGTACAGCTTAGTGTCGAGTACAGCTTATGGACCGATTTTGTTAATGCAAATTCGAAACGTTTATTACTTTCATGAGGACTTTTTTCTTCGCAAATATAAATATAGGTATTTTAGGGTGGTCCTTAAATGTAGGAAGCGAATTTTTACACCAGATTTCCTAAGCCTCAACCCCCACGTCGATGCTACTACAGTCGAAGATATCACATATAAATTTTTCTCCCGATTGGAGACGGTTAAGCCTTGTCGCACAGGGGGTAAAGTTCAGATTCCTCTATGGAGACTCAAAAAATTAAATAACGATTTTTTCATATGATACCCAAAATCGGTACTACTATATTAGAATATAAACATATAAATTTTGGCCCCGATTGGAGTCGGTTAAGGCGTGGCGCACAGGGGTCAAAATTCAGATTACCCTTATTTAGCCAATGTACGGGAAAACTTTTGATCCTGTGGGACAGCGAGGATTCTTATAATGACTTTTATTGGCTTACGGGGTACATTGGACCGATGCTGAAGTTGCAAGATCATAGAAGAATATCACGCACGCTGGCAGAGATCTCACAGGTGGAAATAAGACCATCAGTAAAACTCATGACATCGAAAGAGATTCGATTCCACGCACGCTGGCAGAGATCTCACAGGTGGAAATAAGACCATCAGTAAAACTCATGACATCGAAAGAGATTCGATTCCATATGGTAACACAGCGCTACTATTTTTGGCCTATGTGTGAAGAGGATTCTGCTCTTTAGTCGTTTCAATTTGAACTAAAAACGTTTACTTTACAGACCGCTTTTTCTTTTAAACGCTATTTTTGTATTGGTCAACGCAAAAGATCTTATAAGGCGCCGCGAAGCAAGCGCGCATTAGCTGTCATGTAAAAAAAATATTGTCAATTACTTCTTCTTATAGATAGAAAAATTTAGAAGAAATTGACGACCAAGTCGAAGCGGACTTGCTGTATGATGATAGTTGCACGGATAAAATAATAAGTGTTTACAATTATATATGTTTGGTTGACTATGCATCTCAGAAACGAAATATTTTTTTTTAAAACGTCAGATTAAGAAAACCCCTCCAGGTAATCGTCAGATTATGGAACAGCATGACCAGGGCATCGAGATTAACCTTCTGTATGAAAATCTGACGCGCTCGAGTAAATCCAAATGGCGATTTTTTTTGCATCTTCAAGAAGACGCCACTAGCTTTCGTCACATCTGAATCGTCAGATTATTGAATGGGAGGTTCATTCGGGCCCATTTAACATCCCTTGTGAATATCTGACGCGCTCAAGTAAATTTTTTTGTCACCCATGTTTGACCCTTCTTTAGCTGAAAATTTTAAATAAAATTTAAATTCTAGTTAAATTATTGATTCAAATACTAATATTGATAAGCGGAGTTTTAAGTCATACTCGCGCCTTGCGGGAATGCAAATTTAAATGCACAGTGCATATTATATTTAGTTCAAATAGCCAACTAGCCCTTCGGTTGCATCTTTTGTGTTTACATACATTTGTATGTGTATGATTTGTGAATGTTGCAGTTACGATTGGAAACGTGTTCGTAAGTACGCATTTTTTAAAGTGCATTGGTTGTTGGACATGCGTTTTGTGTACAAATACAATCAGTTTTGTTGGTAATCAGAACGATTGCTTTTAAGATTGAATATCAGTTCCTAGCCTCTAGCTCTGTCTCAGCTTAAAAAGTTAACAGTTGAGCTTAATCCTATTTCATCGGCAAAAAAAAAGTTATGCATGAATGCCATTATCTGAATTATTAGTTCACAAGCGCAATAGTGTTTACGATTGCATTTTTTGGCGCTTACAAAATATGTTAGTGTTTGGCCGAGCTTCTGCTCCGATTTGCGGCGTGAGGCTTGACGTTGTCACACAAACCAACAGTTTTACGCCTACTCCGAACGGCGATTGTATTTTTTATTAGAAGCTGTTTTCATGGCAGAACGCATGTAGTCCAACAACCAATGCACTTTAAAAAGTGCGTACTTACGAACAAGTTTCCAAGCATAACTGCATAAAACTTGCACTTTCATAAATC